TCATCCACCTATTGCAACTTTGAAATCTAAAATTCCTTTAGATTTAGCTGACACCTTTGACGGCAGCCCAATAGATTTGCTACTTGGCGCTGATCTTTACCCCCAAATACTGGAAACCGAACCACCAAAAATAGTTTTAAATTCGTTGTTGGCCCAAAAGTCTATATTCGGGTATATACTGACCGGTTCATTTCCAGCCACCTAATCTCTCACCTATAATAGAAATCGATCACCTTATCGTTTGAATATCGTTTGTATACTTGAGTCACCCATTTACTAAACTTGTGTCGTTTACTAAATTTGTAACATGAAGCTCACTTGAAATCTGAATTTACGTTCATATAGCTTTTACTAACCCATATTCCATTTTAATTGTTAATTGCTACTTTGTCGGTCGTAGCAAGGGGGCCGGAATGTATAAGTTTGATACGTTCTGACTCAACTTCCCGAGCTCAGTCAATTACGTCTGCTGATTGACACCACGGGCATCTCCTCTGCAAGTTCCCTCAGCGGAGACCGTAGGGTGCAGATGCCACCGAGCGGTGGTTGTTGCTGTTTGCTCTCCTTGCTCGACACTTTTCTCCCAATGGAATATGTAAATGTAGTAGTAAACGACAACCGATCCTCAGCGATCACCACAATCCTCTGTGATTGCATGAACCACAGCGTTCACTTGTCGTTTAACCTCCTTAGAAGTAACTTGTCGAATAACGTCTACGCGTTATTAACAGGTCTCAGCGCCGCCACCATAAATTACAAGAGGTAATTTATTTGTTGTATTAAGAAATGATTACCACCAATAAATCCAAGATAATTAGAATACTTTAACTAATACTTTCTTGTGTTTTATTTCTTTGAACCTTTCTTTTCTTTTCCATTTACACCATTAACTGCTTGGGAGCTCTCGTTGTCGCTTCACCCCGCTCCCTTGAGTTAATACATTGATCACCCCTCATCCCCCACACAAACACCACCACGGCGAGGAGTAGACCAAACCCCTCGCCTCAACAATATGTCTCAATTTTTTTTTAACATGGCCTCCCACCCGCCTCATTTTTGGTATTCTGAAGGTCTTAGCCGAATTTTCAAAACTGAGTTTCTGCAAATTTGTTTTTATTTTTTTGCAGAGGATAAAACTCCCTCTTGGAAGATCAATCCCGAACTTAATGGTTTTAATAATTTTTACATGATGTTAATTAGTTCCATGCCCTTGTGGGTATTTAAATGTGGAATATTTCAGTGCACCTCCCAATGCTCTCCATTCCACTGATGGGCCACTGTTCAATATGCCGGTCGGTCAAACCCAAACATTGCATAAGTTGTCAGTCTGTCAGACAAACAAAGAAAGTACAAGTCATTAGACAAACAACGAGAAATGGTGGACAGAGACAAAGTGACGGAGGAGACTGTGTTTAAAAAAATAATCGATAGATACAAAAATAGGCTGAATGCATGCATACAAATGGGTGTACATACATATATGTATATAAACGCACATAGACAATATGCAGTGGGTAATTATATTGGTAAATAGAAGAGCAGTTGTCAATATATGTACATATGTACATTAATATACAGTGGGAGTGGAAACAAGTTATTGAATATAGTGACCAAATATAAATAACACATTACAAAATCAGAGGCTAAAACGTATAGAACAGCCTATGAGAAATAACGTGGACTTGAATTGATTTGAACACTATATATTTTTAATACATACTTCCAAATTGTAGCTCCAACACGATTTCCAAAAAATGGTTTGTACTTTCATGTTGGTAATTCTGTCGAATTCCTTTGTAATGAATTTGTTTCTTGATTTTTATTAATATTTAAGTAAGTATAAACTTTTTTTGGGTCCTGACTGTATTTGTTGTGCACTAGAAAATACCTGTATGAAAAAATACAAAGCAACAACAACTGTGACCTTAATAAATACACATATGGGGCATTGGTGGTAGCATGACTGACCCTCAATATAGAATTTTAAAAATTTTCCATTCCGATTGATTTTTGTTACCTTATCTTTTAAATTGTATTTGCTTGTAATAATTTCGAAGAAAATTATACGAAACATAACTATGTGTGTTTCAAACAGTGAACAATAAAAATATTCATCCAATAATTCAAAATGGGCCATCAATTTGTTTTTTCAATATGAGAATCGTTTGCATATCAAATACTTGTCATTGATTTCTTTGCGGATTCTTGAGAATTATTAATTTTGGACACCATTACAGCGAATTGTGTAGGTCTCGAGCGAAATTTTATCCTAAGGCCCGTTGCAGCTGAGTGAATGGGGTATTCTTCCGGGAATGGTATTTATACTACCTTAGTTCTTGGCATCAGTATGAACATCATTTAGATCAATTTTATTTACATTAAATAACTTCAAATAAATTCAGAGTATTTTTTTTACTTTTCCAATTTATTACTGATACGTTTTGTGCGAACAATTTGAATGTTCTTGTAAATAGTGACCCCAAAAATGTTGGGGATAGGTTTTCCGAATATTTCAATTTCTTTCAAATTGTTAGGACTATAAAATTGTCCGTCCTGATAAAATCGATTTAATTTTTTTAACATATCCGTTTTATTTTCACATCATTTTAAGAAATTTAAGTTGAATAGTGGATCCAGGAGAAATATTATCTTAAGTGAAAACGAAAACGGATAGAAAAATTACATCTTGAAACAATCGGTTGAAAAATGTGTCTGACGGAAAATATCCAAAAATTAATGGTAACGTCATATGGAGCTACCGCAAAACTTGGGCCAATATTGATTTCTGGTAAAGAGATTTGATATCCAATAAATTGACAATTTTGTTGGAAAAATTAAATAAATTCGAAATTTAGGAGGTTCCGTCTTATATGGGCTACTCTAAAATGTGGAGCAACATTCATATTTTTTTTTTTTTTGTTAGGGCGATTTGCCATTTAATGGGAATCAAAAATATATCATTACAGTAAATTTGGTTGAAAATCTGTAGATACCGTTATATGGGGGATACCAATAGTGGACCAATATATCAAACATTCTAGAAATAATAGGAATGTATGAGCAAAATGTCCAAGCTGTATCGTAATATTGAGATCTCTATGATGATTAAACAGACGAAAATGTTTAATTCGACATAGAATTTTATTTTGACAAATAATAAAGTACATATTATTAAATTTAGGGTCTTCGAGGAATATTTAGAGGTGTTGCATTGCAAAAAAATTCTACGCTTTGATGACCCTTAAACATTTGTTTTCCAAATGTACGCCTTGTTGGTTTTTAGGTCCAAGCTATAGAGGTCGTGGAAAAAAATATTCTAATTAAAAACTACGTCCAAGTGACCCTTGAAAATCTATTCTTAAACAATTTAAACCAAGGTGTCTCTTGAACAAAATATTCTTTTAAAATCACTGAAATACATTTAGAAATCTATGGAATGCTGGCAATTGAAAAAAACATATTTAAAAAAATCTACTCTGCTGACTTTTTCAACAATGTTGTTTAAGTCCACGCAATATATATATATATAATTAGAAGCTATGCCCAAGTGTCAATGGGAAAAATATTGTGATTAAAATCTACGCCTAAGTGCCCCTGGAAAAATAATATACTTAAAATCTACACCCATGCTGATTTTTTAACCAATGTTTTGTTAAGTCCACGCAATAGAAGCCCTGGAAAAATATTCTAAATAAAATCTGCTCCCAAGTGTCCTGAAAAAATATTCTAATTAAAATCTGCGCCCAAGTGTCCTGAAAAAATATTCTAATTAAAATCTACGCCCAAGTGTCCTGAAAAAATATTCTAATTAAAATCTACGCCCAAGTGTCTTGAAAAAAATTCTACTTAAAATGGACGCCCATGTGTCCCCGGGAAAATATTCTTATTCAAATCTAGGCCTAAATGTCCCTGGAAAGATATTCCAATTAAAATCTGTCTTAGTGGCCGTTGAATAAAAAATACTTTTAAAATTCTACACTTTTCTCACCCATGAAAAAATATATGTACTTTTACAAATCCAAGGCCACTAAGTACTGGAAAAAATTAAAAAAAACATTGTTCATTTAAGAATCCAGGCTCTAGTGACCCTTGAAAAACTATTCTTTAAAAAATCCACGTTCTAGTGGCCCTTCAAAAACGAAAATTATTCTTTAATAAAAGCATTATTTGTTGTCAATTTAAACTTCCCCTTAAACAAATTCCAGCCTCTTTGCTGATCCTAGAAAAAAGTATTCGTTAAAAATCTATTCTCTTGGACCATCAACAAAATATGTTTTTAAAATTCACATTGTGATGCAATTAAAAGCATGATATAAATTCAAACATTGCTGAGCTATTAAAAATTATTCTTTTATAAATCCACAATTTGATGTGGGTATTTTTTAAGCCTCTTTAAAAATTCCCGCCCAAGTTCACTCCAGTATATTGAAATATTTGATAAATGTTGGTTGGTTAGGTTTCCATTAAGTTTTTTAGACTTTTAATTCGGCATTATATACAAATGTATATAGAAATATATATTAATACATATATTTAAATGCTGTGGAGGGTATATTTTCGTATTTTAAATATTACTTTAATTTTTTACAAAGGAATATGCTTGTAGGCTCTTAGGGTCAAAAATATTTATTTTTTGTTAACGCCCAAATAAAAATTGTTGATTAAATGTAATTTATCGATTTCTTTGTTTTTATTTTTCATATAAAAAAATTATTATAATTTACATATATAAATAATAACTTATCAGTTAAAATGTAATTAAGTATAAGACTGTGTGGTGGCTTTATTAACAAAAAAAAAAAAAAATAAAGAAATGCATAGAACAATTTCATGGCAATTTTTGCAAATTATATTGTTTTTTCTTTCGTTATTATAATTAAATACAATATCAAGGGAATGAGATTAAAAAGAAGATTACTGCTAATTCTTTTCTTAACATTAAACATTCTTTTTTCGATTTTGTAATGAGTCATTTCCAGAACGTTACTCTTGTGCTTCGCTTTAGATTTCATCTTCCAAATTGAAATCTTCTTCGGGGAAATCACCAACCTCTACCCATAGAGGCGAGACAAAACCACCATAATTTGGTGGACAGGTAAAGTAACGTTTACCCTGTACCGAACCATCATTTTTACCCAATGGTTCATCGTATTTGACACCAATAAATACCCCAGTCTTGCCCTCCAATGGGCCGTTGTACATGACGGTGCCACGACGGGTGGGACAACCCTTTAACGTAACCTGGCAACGTGAACCCACCGTACATTGTTCAGCCTTTTGTTTCTCCAATGCTTCCTTTTCCAAACGTTTCGCCTCTTCCCGCTTCTGTTCCTCTTCATTGTACTTGCCCATTTGATTCCTTTTAAGGAAACTCCTGACAGTATTATCCTTCTTATCATATTCATCTTCGGGTAATTCGAATTTTTTCACCTCTTCGCCATCGTGCAAATCGAACAGGATAAAGTCGTCGACAACATGAAACCGCATATTCGGTTCAATTGGCAATGCTCCCAACATCATCGAATCATCGCCCAGTGACGTCACCAACTCACTGCCCTTATATAGCTCCACTTTCATGGTACCGGCATTTCCACCAGTTATCACTTGCAACTTCTGCTTGAGGTCAGCAACTGTTAGAGATTTGGGAAATTTAATGTCGAACGCAACATGATCGGTTTTGGAATTGGTCACATTGATTTGTATGAAATCGGAACCGCCAAGTGAAATCATTTTTTCTTCTGATTTTTTAAAGAGTTTTCTATTTTTTTAATAAAATTTACTTTATAAACGTTTCTTTCACAATCCCAACAATGGCCAAGTTTGTTTTGTTGTGTGTGGTGCTAGGGTTGCCAATGTGAAAAATGGTTCGTTGATGACTCACAGATGATTGCTCTGTTAATGGGAATGGCCAGATTATTATTTTTTTGAGGGATGAATGTAACCAAGAAGTTTTGTTTAAAATCTCCCACTTAAGAAGTGTTATTGTGAATGAATAAATTTAAATAAAATCTTATTGGAAAATTGGGGAAAAAATTATATTCTCCACCATAGTATGGAGGTTAAATAAATTTTGTCAGTAACGTCTTGAAATAATTATTTTAGACCCTGTTGTAATAACGATATCTTCCGAAAAAATGCGGTAGAGTATTTATATGTTGCGCATACGCGTATTTTGTCAACAGGTTATGTGTGTGAATATGGACAAAATCAATAGACGAATATGGTATTTAGGAAAAATATTATTTTACAAATTAGCCTTTTCTAAAAATCCACACTCTAGTGGCCCTTGAAAATACATTATTTTAAAAATTCACGCTCTAGTGGCCCTTGAAGAAATACTCTTTTAAAAATCCACGCTTTACTGGCTCTTGAAAAATATTATTTTAAAAATCCGGGCCTCAGTAGGCATTTAAAAACTATTATTTCAAAAATGCACGGTCTAGTGGGCCTTGGGAAACAATTCTTTTAAAAATCCACGTTGCACTGTCCCTTGAAAAACAATTATTTTAAAATCTACGCTTTACAGGCCCTTAAAAAACTATTATTTCCAAAATGCACGCTTTGCTGGCACTTGAAAATTATTCTTTTAAAATCTACGCTTTGGTGGCCCTTGAAAAACTATTCTTTTAAAAATCCACGCTTTGATGGGCCTGAAGATATATTCTTTTAAAAATTCACGCTCTAGTGGCCCTTGAAAAACATTATTTTGAGAATCCACGATATAGTTGCCCTTGAAAAACTATTCGTTTAAAAATCCACGCTTTGCTGGCCCTTTAAAAAATTATTCTTTTAAAAATCCACGCTTTGCTGGCCCTTTAAAAAATTATTCTTTTAAAAATCCACGCTTTGCTGGCCCTTTAAAAAAGTATTCTTTTAAAAATCCACGCTTTGCTGGCCCTTGAAGGAATATTCCTTTAAAAGAAAAAGAAGATGACCTTGAAAGAACATGCTCCATATGCTACACCATAGTAAGGATGATCAAATAAATTCTGTGAGTAACACCTCGAAATAATTATATTAGACCCTTCTGTAATTACGATATCTTCGGAAATAAATGCGATAGAGTGCTTAAATAAAGATTTTGGACACATTCTCAAGAATTTGGACACATTTCCAATAAAACTGATTATAGCTTGACATGTTGGGTTCTAATTGTGTTGAAGACTTCCACCTTTATGTGAAGGTACCATAAAGTTGCCTTAGATTTTCGAATTTCTTAAGATTTTAGACACATTTTCCAATCAATTTTTTTATTGATCGTTCTCCTTACCAAAAATTGTTAATATTGGTCCACTTTTAGATGTGTTCCCCATAATACGATACCCTTAATTTTCGGTATTTAAATGATGTTGGATTGGTTTTTCAACCGAATCGGCTGTAACTTGATATTCTAAGTTCTCATTGGGTAGAAAATCTCCTTACCAAATATTATCAATATTGGTCCACTTTTAGATGTGATCCCCATAATACGATACTCCTAATTTTCGGTATTTTAATGATATCTGAATACTGATTGGGTAACAAATATTAATACGATACCCTCCGATTTACAGTATTTTAAGAATACGATATATGTTTTCCAATCGAATTTGATGTAATTTAATATTTTGGGTTCTCATTGGGTACAAAATCTGTCTACCACAAATTTTAAATATCGATCTACCTTTAGACATAGCGCCCATAACCTCTATTTTCGGTATTTCATGAATTTTTGGACTCATTTTCCAATTTGAATGGATGTAATTTGGTTCGTGAAAAAGAGAACAACATACTTTCAAATAATTTTTAATATAGGATTATGATTTGGGATATGACCTATATAAAGACACGGCCAATTTTCGGAATTTTTAGAATTTTAGAAAATTAAATATAAATTTTATCATATTAAGCGGCTTAAATGTAAAAGGGAGGGATATTGGACTACTAAAAAATATTATACCGAGCAAATTATTTAATTGAATTATGGGTTATTATTAAAAATGTTGATTAAATGGATTGTGACTACTATACAAATTTCCGACCCATTTTCGGCATTTTGAATATTTAAACCTAAAAAGTTGTCTGCATTCCGGATTTTAAGTGAATAAAATAATCTTCCAGCTTAAATAGTTCCCATTCAAAGGTCCTGCTTAAATTTTGGTATGTTGATGTTCCTATCCTACTTTTCTAAACTCAGACACTCAGTTTAGAAAAACTCAGACACTGCAATTTAGTACTACATTCCCACAGCGGATGTACAACTTTCTATTTACAAATTACATAGTCCCCACACAAAGGTACCTACCGATTCAAGGAATTTGTAATGCACGCATCATTATGGAGGTTAGAAAAATTCGAACCTTGTTTATATATATCACAACATATGATCTTCCAGGGGTACCACGGTAGGTATTCTATACCAAAACTGGCACCTCTGGATGACCTTGAAAAGTTAGACATTTCTGAATGATTTAACAATTGCAAAATTTCTATTAAATATTCACACACACATTTTTTGCATTCAATTTTTCAAACGCGCCAGAATGCAGAATTTGTTTACATTTCGAAAGAGATAAGGTGATAAACAATAAATAACAAAAAAAAATGTTTCTTCATTTTTGCCATCGTCAGCAGAGTCTCTGTCTGATTGCACTTTCGTTTCGGATCGTGTTCATTTCGCTGATTCAATTATTGAGTTTGGTTTACGCGCTTCACCTTTTGTTTTTTTTTTTTTTTTTGGTGTCATGAAATCAATATTATTCTTGTTTTTTGGTAGCGAGGTATCGATGATCATACTCACGTACATACACTTTTGTTGTTTTTGTTGAAAACCCTGTTGACTTGACTGTTTATTTATTTATTTTTTTTTTCAAAACAGTCAAATTGCGTCGTTTTAATTTTATAAAACAATTTTAGAAAAAAAAAAAAAAAACAATTGACAAAAATAAATTCCTGACGCACAATGAAACATCACACATGTGTTTGATTAAAAGTTTCAGTAGACAATAATGAGTGCTGTTTTAAAAACCTTTGTTTTTAACAAATTTTATAATAGGTTTTATACAAAAAATTTTATAATCGTTTTTATACCGTTAATTTCATTTAATTTATTTCGTTTTTTTTTGCAACAAAGCCTAAATGTCCATTGATAGTTACACAATACAAGAATTATTTACACCTAGCATAAACTTAAATAATAAAGCATAACAAAATTTAAAAAGAAAATTAAAATTTGCATATATGTGTACATACTTAAACTACTCAATGTTAGAATAATTATTATAAAATTAAAAAAATATAAACAAAAATGCATTCGAATGGAAATTCGAGGCCATAAAATTGTCATTTTAAAAGATACTCTACACGACAGGTGACATGACCTTTTCAAACACAATCTATCAAAAATATAAATTTTTAAGAGGACCTCATCCATTATCAAAGTAAAAAATTTGATTAGATACAAAAATTTCTGGCTGATGGGTTATTTAAATTACATACGATATATCGGATTCAAAATTGAAATTTTAATTAACTTTCAGATTTAATTTAAGAATAAAATGGAATAATAAATATTTTTATACATTTTAACTTATTTTACAACAAATTGCAGAAATATAAATTATGTATGTAAAACCGGCATGAGAAATATACGTGACTTAAATAAATATTTACATTTAATTGTAATAGTCGTACCCTATAATTTTATGGAATTATTTATTTGGGTGAAGAATTCATTTAGAGATTTAAAATAAAAACAATTTTTGTTTGACACTTTTTCCGGTGTAATTAATTTTGTTTTGTTACATTGCACTGTACATGTGCGTGTGCTTCCTCATAATCGTGACAAAGAGTATTACGATACGCTTTTAGAATTCATTATTGTTACAAGTTGGGGCTGAATTAAAAAATATTGATTTTTTAATTGGTCTTTTTAAAGACCTGTGGTGTCTATACAGACCAATTGGTCTTTATAAAGACCTGTGGTGTCTATACAGACCAATTGGTCTTTATAAAGACCTGTGGTGTCTATACAGACCAATTGGTCTTTATAAAGACCTGTGGTGTCTATTATACAGACCAATTGGTCTTTATAAAGACCTGTGGTCTCTAAACAGGCCAATTGGTCTTTATAAAAATCTTTGCCAATTAATACATAACTCCTGGTATCTCACAGCTCCACTATTGTGATTGTTTTTTTTTTCTCCCCTACTACCACAATTTATGATCTCTTAGTCTTTCGCTCTCTTTACATGGTTGGCCCTGATCACTATGGTAACAGCCAGGCAACATATGTTTCAAACTAGTATAGACATGGTTTATTTTTCTGTGGCTTAAAACATAGAAAAAATACACTAAAAATTCCAAAATAAAAAGAAACAACTATTGACTATCTAACAAACGAAATGGAGTGGGCTGAGGAATTAAAAATGTCCATAAGAAAGGTATAAAAATTGGATTTAAAAAATAGTCGTTTACATTTAGTTAAACAAAACCATTTCAGACAACTGCCCGTAAGGGCAGACGATCCAAAAGTCGTGATATACTCAAAGATTCGCCACAAACTTCGACAAGTGTTGCAACAAATTCTACCTCTGGACAGAATCCGGAATTATCAATAGATTTCAATTTGGATTTACAAACGCAGCGACAAACAAATACCGCCTCAACGGGTAATAATATTTCGGGAACATTTTCACCTGACTCCACAACATCCGCCGGCGGTGGTGGCGGAGAAATTTCAAGTTTATTAACTGGAGAATCGAAATCGAGGCCACCAATGTTGCGAAGAATTTCAGGTGGCTGGGCCGATTCAGCAAGTGGTAGTAAACAAAAGTAGGGGCATTTATAAAAAATATTAAAAACAATAATTTATTACGAAACACTTATTTATAACTAAGCTTTGTTTTAATTTTAATCTGATTCCTTTAATTAATGAAATTCTGTTTTGTAGGTCCAAAAAGGGTTCATTTGATGAGTAAGTCTTGAAATTAATTAGTTTGTTATTAATAACAATTTAATAATGTTCTATTCTACTTACAGTGAGCGTTTTGGCATAAAATCATCGGAGAATACATCACCCACAGATGATATTCCCATTATACCGGATCTGGATGATATTAAAGATGAAACGATAATGCACGAAATAGCCCAACCAGCATCGTAAGTTAAAGAATAAACTATGTATATAGTTCTATTGAGATATTTATTGAAAGTCCCAAATCGATGGTATTCTTAATTTTGAGGTCTAATAACCTTTCTAGTGTCTTAAATAAAAAGGAAGAAAAGCTAATCGGCCTATAGCCCTCAGGTAGCGTGTCACTCGGCTTCCCTATTATTTTATTTATTTATATATTTCATATTGCCCAGTCTTTCGACCTTAAGGCTGTAAGCTACATTTCACAATTAAATATAAATTATATCATATTAAGCGGCTTAAATGTAAAAGGGAGGGATATTGAACTACTAAAGAATATTATACCGATTAAATTACAAAAAAAGTTTTTGATTATTATTATAGATTATGATTTAAAAATTTGATTATGTTTCCAGGGAGTATCTCAGCAATAGGCTTGGATTTTTAAAGAATATTTTTACAAGGAGTATCTCAGCAATAGGCTTGGATTTTTTAAAGAATATTTTTCCAAGGAGCATCTCAGCCATAAGCGTGGATTTTTTAAAGAATATTTTTCAAAGAGTATCTCAGTCATAGGCGTGGATTTTTTAAAGAATATTTTTCCAAGGAGTATCTCAGCCATATGCGTGGATTTTTTAAAGAATATTTTTCCAAGGAGTATCTCAGCCATAGGCGTGGATTTTTTAAAGAATATTTTTCCAAGGAGTATCTCAGCCATAGGCGTGGATTTTTTAAAGAATATTTTTCCAAGGAGTATCTCAGCCATAGGCGTGGATTTTTTAAAGAATATTTTTCCAAGGAGTATCTCAGCCATAGGCGTGGATTTTTTAAAGAATATTTTTCCAAGGAGTATCTCAGCCATAGGCGTGGATTTTTTAAAGAATATTTTTCCAAGGAGTATCTCAGCCATAGGCGTGGATTTTTTAAAGAATATTTTTCCAAGGAGTATCTCAGCCATAGGCGTGGATTTTTTAAAGAATATTTTTCCAAGGAGTATCTCAGCCATAGGCGTGGATTTTTTAAAGAATATTTTTCCAAGGAGTATCTCAGCCATAGACCTGGATTTTTTTTAAAAAGAATATGTTTCTAAGGAGTATCTCAGCCATAGGCGTGGATTTTTTAAAGAATATTTTTCAATAATCAAATTTTTACAGATTTGCTGTTAATCGTGTGGTCACTTTGAAAGAACTCAATTCCGATTTATTGGCCCAAACGGCATTTTCGGTTATAGAAGATGTCGATTTATCAATTCTAACCAAATGTCTGCAACCGCAAGAAGTATTGGATGAACCGGACGAGGTATGGGAATGGCAAAAACTATTTACCGATGTTGTGGCTGAAATACATTCAGATAAATCATCATTGGAAAAACCTAAGAGAACGGAATTAAAACCCGATGAAATACCGGAAACAAATTCGGATTAAATTTAGAGATATTTTTCTTTTTATTTTAATATGTGCTGTTTATAGAAAAACACATTATTTTTAAATATTGATCTCCTTTGTTTAAAAAATAAGTTAATGCAATTTACTTGGCACACCAAGTCTTTAAAAAAGAAAAAACTCTTTTGTCTAAAAATTAAGAACGAAAAAACATCACAATAAAAATGTTTTTATTCAACTAAAATCTTATAATAGGCTGTTGTCCTTCCTTGGCAGCTGCACTAGACGACGATTCCGTTTGTTCGGCTGCATTCGATTTACTGGCGCTTTCTTTTTCCTGAATTAGTTTGGTTAATTTTTCTTCATCGATTAAACCATATTCATCGGTATAACCGGTTAGAGCACAAACAATGGGTGCCTCAAAGACTAATATATATTGACATGTTTTGGGTTCCAATAGATACATGGAAACAGCGCTGGGATTTAGCGAACCACCCATTCCACTGCCACCGCTACATGTTAGCTTAACATCAACTTCCCGCGGCAGACCAGTTTTATCACATCTCGAACCTTTTTCATAATGATGCCAAATGGACGTCGATTGAGCCTTTGGCCATTTGTCGGGATTGGCCTCCAGCCATTGACGATGGGCACTGGCACTGAAATGGCCCAAAAATAATTCAGTTTCGGATTTTTTGTCCTTGTGGAATTGTCGCACATAGTTGCCATAGCAGAATTCATATTTCCACCAACCGGTGCCCTAAATGTGGGTATACATTATTAAACATTATCGGAATTGATTTCCTAAGAAAAAAACCTACCCCTGTCAAACACTTTTTACCCTTAACAAACTCCAACAATGGTGTCAAATCCTGTAAAGCCGGTGTTGTGGGTGGAGTTTTCAAGGCACTTGTCTCCTCGGCACTGGTATCGGCGGTGTGAGCTGTCAAACTACCATCTTTGGTAATACTCAACACAATCTTATCCACATCTTCGCCGATGCGATTGAAATAGGCAAAACGTCCTTCGCTGGCTGCATCACTGGCCTCCTTCGACACCGGGAATTCATCCAAAGACAATTGCATTTCATTCAGCTCCTGACGCAACATACTTAATGGCTTATGGGCATCATCAGGTGAGTTATAACATTTAATCGAAGTCTCCTTATACTCTTCCGGATGAAAAGCGGGTATAACACACAATGCTGATGTCAGGATAATAGCTTCATAATTACACGATGAAGTCTCTTTGAAAGAATAAATTTCATTCTTTCCATGAGGATAGCAGACATAACGGACAATTGTGGTACGTGGTGCATTGATAATATCACATTTGGTACCATCAGTAAATTCCATTTCAAAGTAGGGATATTTAATATTATCAATTTTTGTGGTCTTATATTTCATTCCGGCTTTGCGATTCTCCTCCCATTCCTTTTGTAATTTTTCCGATTTGTCATCACTCCATTTACCCAAATAGTATTCTTGGAATTTCACCGCTTTGCCCTCACGTTCTTCATGATACTGGCGAACATGGAGGCCATGGCAAATTTCATATGACCAATAGGCCTCAATGCGATATGAACAACTGGGCGTATTAAAGATGCTTTTCAACAAGGCGAAGGGAGCTAAAATATAAAAAAAGAAAATACATCCATTTCCGAACCATAGCACCTAAATAAAACTCACAAAGTTCCGGTTCATCAGATTTGGCTTCTTCTTTGGCCTCAGTCACCGAAGGTATAACACAGTGATATTGTTCCTTTTCATGGGTGTAAAATGTGCGTATCTGATTTTTTAGTTCCTGTAATATATCCTCTATTAGTATAAACATCTAATTTACAAATTCTTTGGACTTACTGGATTTTGTTCGAAATCGGGAATATCGAAATCAATTTTATATAGAATGGTATCATCGAAATCCTTGGCTTCGTGTGAAGCAATGTCTTGCACAAACAGAATTAATCCTATTAATTGCAAAACTAAAAGGCCACAAAAACGTAGCTTTAACATATTTTTTTCCGAAATAAATACTTATAAACAAAACTTTTTTAGTATTAGATAAATTCTTCGGCTACTGATTAATTTTCTTGCGGTAATCTATAGTTTCAAATGTTTAAATAAAACTGTTGTACTGATTCCTCGATTTCCAGGTTCAGAAAGGTTGCAAACTTAAACGGATATGTCCAAAGAAATTTAGGAACAGATTAGTGGGTTTAGCTTGGCGGTTGAAAAATTTAGCTTATTGGTTGGAAACATAGTACAATAACATAAGGTAGGATATCTTGTGTGGTATAAAACAAAAACCGAGACCATGTATGTAGTAACTCCTTCCGCCAGATATAGAACAGGAACTATAATAATTCGGTAGATGTACCCTATAATAATGACATAATTTTTATACCCTCCACAATAAGGTGGAGTGGATATTAAATTTGTCATAACGTTTGCAACACATCGAAATATTCACCGGAGACGCCATTAATATTATAAATATATTCTTGATCAGAATAAAATTCTATGTCGATTCACGTTCCGGTATAAAAAATCGGTTTTTTTTTGGAGATTGAGCACTTGTTTTAACCAATTTGGAAGCAATTACATATTATGTATTCTTGTTGAGTAGAAAATATCTCTACTGACAATGAAGGTCCGCAAAATAAGAAGACTACAAGGTCTTCATTTACAAGACCTGCAAATCTTATTGTAGAAGAACAGGAGTTCATTATTTTGAATGCGCCAAATCCTTGAAAGGACTCACGGAAAACACATCGACACGTACCACCTATTCGTCGGCTATAAAGCCGGATTCGACAGCCCTATCCGTTCAGAGGTGTTTAAAGCCATGTCTACGTTCGGCATTCCTGCAAAATTAATACGTCTATGCAGGATAACTTGAAGTGACACAAGATCAGCAGTTAAAGTCGAAAGGGACCTATCAGAGCCCTGCATACCGAACGAGGATTCAGACAATGTGACAGTTTGTCGTGTGATCTTTTCAACATCCTGCTGGAAAAGGTCATACGAAACGCAAAGGTGAACAGAAATGACACTCTGTACACCAAACAACACAAGTTACTCGCCTACGCCGATGACATCGATATAATGAGTCTAACATTGTGAGCGGTTCCAGCCACATTTGAAAAAATTGAGAAGGAGCCTGCCAAAGTGGGTCTGGCAGTAAACGGCGAGAATACCAAGCTGATGATATCAACTCGCACCAACTGTGGAACTTGAAAACTACAGCTTCGAGGTAGTTTAAGCTTTTATATACCTTGGTACCGCCATAAATAAAACTAATGACATCAATTTTGAAATTCGGAGAAGGATTGTGATGGCCAACAGATGCTACTATGGTCTAAGTAAGCAGTTTAGAAACAAGACCAAACTCACAATCTATAGGAGACTTATACTACCCGTGCTGTTATATGGATCTGCAAGCAGATGAATCAGCTCTTGGGGTGTTTGAAAGAAAAACTCTCCGAACGATCTACGGCCCGATCTGCGTCGAATGAACCACGAGCTTTACAATTTATACGTGGACATCGACATAGTCGTATTGAGCTGCAGCGACTACGGTGGCTAGGCCATGTTGTACGAATGAATGAGAATGCCCCAGCTCAAAAGGCATAAAAAAGCATACGGATGGTGCACGCAGAAGGAAAGGCCACGAATTAGATGGAATGACCAAGTAGAAGACAAGATCTTGGAACGTGGTCTTTCAAATTATAGGAGATGCGCACAAGACCGACGCGCTTGGAAATCTTTTTTAGGCTCGGTTTATGAAACAATCGTTTTCAACCCAATTTTCTCATAGATGTGTCTATAATTTGTCATATGGGATTCCTGGTGAATAAATAAAAATAGTCCCGTTTAACCAGAGAATCTGTAATTTGGAACACCATTATCCCGAATGCATTCCACGTATTGTAGGGTATAAAAACTTCGGACCGTCCGACCTTAATGACGTTTATCAATACTTGTACCAAGTGATGCAATAATAAGGTGATGTATCAAAACAAAAACCTTTGTTATCTCGACCATCTGTCAATATTTTCCTTATAATATTTCACATGGTTGGCAACATTGTACATCGAATTCAACATGATGCAATAATAAGGTGATGTATACCAACAAAAACCTTTGTTTTTGTCTCGATTATCTGTCAAATTTGTCCATGTAATATTTGAAATGGTTGGCAACACTGCACATCGAATTCAAGTAGGAATTATCCACTTTGACAGTTAATCAATACATCAGCTGCGCTAAATGGACTACCTATTCATTGTGCCATGGAATTTCATTTTTTGCATGTACACATTTAAACTTAATACGGCAACCCTACACATAAAATATCAACCCTGTTATAACAACACTATTGTGAATGCTTGACACTTGTCATTTATGTGTGTCTCTCATTCTCCATACCCTTATCATAACGCAAACAACTAAAAGTATACTTCTATTTTTTGTGCATATGGATGGAGTAGGGGGAGTTGTGTTGATGGGGTTGCCTCTTGCATTAACGTGGGTGGGAGGGAGGATTATGAAAGGCGGTTATTTGGTGTTACCAACTTTTTTTTGACATTCTCCTTTTTCAAGTGTAAATGTGTGTGTGTGCGATTCTTCATATGGTGTTAATAATCGATAGCAAGCCATAGTAGCAAAGAAAACGTTCTTATTTTTGCGGAACCAAAAATTGTATTTCCGTCCCCCCATAAAGTTGTTATAATTTTATAAATTAAAAAAACGCCTTTTTTATTCAATAAATATTCTTTCTTTTGAATTAAAACAAAATACAACTACAAAGTTCAAAACACGTAATGGAAGACAATACTACTACACCTTTATTACCAATAGAGGCCTTATCGTAAGTCATTTTCTCAATGAAGAACAAATCGTTGCAAGAAATGCGACCTGAATAGGAAAAAAACTTAACCTACATTTTTGTGTGTGTCTTCTTTCCTGCTACCCTCCGATCTGAAGCTTTGATATTACACCAATTTCCACATCCAATACCACTCAAGGAAAAAACACTTCACGGAAACTATCACACGAGTTATTGATAAATATAACAAATGAGGATGATGAGCCACCAGCAGCAGCAACAACACAACCAAAAACAATGGAGGAGAGTAATGGTGATTCAACTGCAGAAGCAGCATCATCATCTTGTGACGATAACAATATGACAATTGTCGATGATGATTTATTGCCGGCTGGCGACGGAGGCGATTTGAGCACAGTTGTTTATACAGCCACCTCATTTGAATCGGAAAAATTTGATGATTTTTCCAAACAAAAATTCGAATTAGAAAGATTGTAAGTTTGTAAAAGGAAGAAGAGGAGTACGCAAACCAAAACTCCTAATAGATGGATAGAATCATCCAGGAAGACAAAATTCATTAATCGGTTAGAAAAGCATTTGTATCCAAGAGAGTTGGGTAGATTTAGCTAGATATTCACACCTTAGCTATAAATAGTAACTAAGGCT